ATATATATATATGGCACTTCCCCCCCCCCGGTACCAAGGTTGTCTCCTGTTCAGGTCAACCGCCTTGTCCCTAATATGGGTTGGTGTCCCTTTGTGGTTGCATCTCTCAGAAAGCAAGTGTTGCTTAAATTTTTAAAATACTTCTGGCCCCTGAGGCTTCTAAGTTTAGGGTTTAGTATGGTTTTGCTCCCGAAGTTACTCCAAATTCATGTAAGCTGTTGGAAATGTTGATAAACCAACATTTTCCACGATTTGTCTGTGGAGAATCATGGAACATGTAGGCTTTACCAACATTTCCAACCATTTCCATGATCTTCCAAACTATGGCTCCGGCTCAAGATGCTTCTCGAAATTCATGGAAATTGTTGGTTTTACCAACATTTTCCATGATTTCCGACAGTGAAAAACTATTTTACCCACTGCGGTAAACAGGAATCTTGAGAGGTAACACCACAGATTTACAGATGGGTACTTTTGCACCCCTTCTGGTGCGCAGAGCATTACACTCTAAGCACCACACAAAGCGAAGTGAAACATTGGGCTCTGTAAACTGCATCGTCTAAGGTAGTGGAGCCTGGCCAGGGATCAGTACAGCAACTCTTTGTGACCGTCATCTTTGGTCGAAGTGAGCCGACATCCGAGCACCTTGAGGTGTTTGCGCAAAATCGGTCCGCCGACACTCTTAGTGAGAACGTCGCTCGTACTGCGCTCACCCGGGACCTTGTGGATCCGCGGATGATCGTTTGCAACTCTCTGCTGCAACCAGAGATATCTTGTTTGTACGTGTCTCGCCTTTCCTAGGCCAATTCGGCTTCCTTGGCCCTTCGCGGCATTGGAATCCGTTTCCAAGGTCACGCCTAGCTCGCAGCCCCAATCCTCCAACAGGGACTGTATTCCTAAACCTGTCGAGCCTGCCTTGACCCAGGCGTAGTATTCAGATTCCCCCGTCGACAGAGCGATGGTGGACTGTACATTGCTAGCGTGCTTGATCGGATGTCTTCCATAGAAAGCTATCATGCCGGTGGTGCTTCGCCGCGTGACGGCGTCGCCAGCATGATCTGCATCCACTTGGACTCTGAGCTTGTCGGGTTCCTTCTGTGCTTCGTAGACAAGTTTCGCGTATGGGTATTGCTTCAAGTAGCGACCCAAGCGCTTCAGATTCGCCCAGTCTGCCTCTGTAGGCATCACCATCTGTCTTGACAATGTCTTGACTGCGTGCCCTAGATCGGCACGATCCTGGGATAGGTATGCGGATCGCATAACAAGCGATCTGTACTTCTTCACCATGTCCGGTGGCAATGCCGCAGCTTTGGCTTCCAGCAACTGCTGGTCTATAGACTTCTTCACGTCTGCTGTTTCCACTCCCCTTCCGTTCTTCAGGCCGAGTTCCTCTATGAGGAGTTCTGCGTGTCTAGAGTCTGCTTCGATTACAGCACGACGTCTCCCCTCAATTGTCTCTAGCCTGATAACTGTGTTCAGAAAGGAGATCCTCTTGGAGCCTTCGACATCAATGCCTATCGTGCCTGTTCTCTTCAGCTCAGAGGCCTCCCTTAGAGTCCTATCCAACGCTTCTTGAGCTGCGTCGTCTCCTAAACAAAGAAAGTCGTCTCCATGGACTAGAACCCTTGCGTCAAGCAACGGGTGAAAGAAGACTGCGCCATTGCTTTTTCCGCGTATCCATCCTGCATCAGTGAGAACCTGGGTGTAGTGTGTCTGCCATATTGATGGCGCGTCTTGAGTACCGTACATGGATTTGCATAATAGACCACACTCGTCGTCTGATGCTCCTTCTTCTGGTGGCAACTTCACGTAAATGTTGCGCTTAGGACTGCCATAAAAATGGGCTCTTGAAATGTCCCAGCTGCCCAGTCTTAGCAGTCTGCCATGCTTGGATCTTCCCTTAGTCACCAGCATGGATGCCAGCAGTCTCACGGCTTCCAATGGCGGCATGGCGCTGAATAACATAGCTGGGTCTAGCTGGTCTTCTGGCGATTTCCTTGCTTTGATGTCTTTGACAACTAATCTTGATCGCAGATTCGGATTCTGAGCATCAGCTTTCTGGGTGTCTACCCATTTCAGTGGTATGGGTTGTTTCCCAGTTTCCTCCAAGCATTGACTCAAGGGAACTCGCTTCCAGACTCCCTGTTTGTGGATATAGTCCATTTCAAGCGCTCTTGCCTCTTCTACGCCTGCTGGGTCCAGATACCCTCCGTTTACGTCGTCCCAGTACTGATACCAGTCTCCAGCTGGCATAGCCGTTTCCTCAGGCACTGGCCCAGCCGCATAGGCATCAACAGAGCTTAAGTGACCGTCCTGGGCCATCTGTTCCTTCAAGCCTTGCAGGACTGCCTTCACGAGTTTAGGCGGGTACACTGCTGCACCTCTTGCTATACCACCTACGAGATGGACATAGCGGTGCCACAGACCTCCAGTCTCGTTGCGACACTGCTCTGCCAGTCGCTCTGCTAGGACCGCGCTGTTCGTAAGCCAGCCCGTCTCTTTCCTCACATACCCTTTTCCTTGTAGACCCTGGGGGTCTTCCGCTTGCATCTCCCACTTGCACGTGGGGCCCTTTACAAGGTAAACTCCTTTCTTTTCAGACAAGGCCTTCACTTCAGGATCATACCACGAGTCCGCGCTCCACGGATGCTCATGCAAGAAGTGCCTGCCTGCATCGATCTGCTTGTGGTACATTCGTATACAAGCGTGCAGGTGGCGTTCGCCCTTCTCCCTTCTCATCCTTCTCACCTCTGGTGAGACTTTGGGTTTGTTGATGTCTTGCAGTCTTGAGAATGCTTCGCATGGAGGCCCTCCTGTTAGGAGGTAAGGCTCTTCTGTATCGATAAGCTTGTCTAGCTCTTCGACGTCTTGTTTCTGAGACAAGTCCCATGCTCCTCCACTAGGCTTGTCCTCGCACAGATCTACCGCGTACCCAGGCAAAAGGCCTA